TACCCACAGACTTCACAGTAAATCTGGTCCACTCATTTTTATTCAACAAATTAAAAGAATAGTAAATACTACAGAGTCTACTTTTTCATATATCTAATAATTCATTGTTATACATTTTGGGCTTTTTTCATTATAAAAACAAAATTAAGATAATTCATTGTTATATTTACAAAGATCATTAATATTTTTGTATGTAGATCTTGTAATGTTCTTGAACAAAATCACTTTTTTTTTATATAAATTAAATTAAAACAGCAGTAAATTATTAAAAATATAATTTAAAATAATTTCAAAAATTAAACTATAGTTTATAATTATATAATCATTTAATTAATTTTAATCTTTTATGAATGTTTTAGTTAATTGAATAAAGATGTAACTTACTAACTAATTGTATTACACACGTTCATATGATCATATTTACTTGCACTTTTTTAACCTTCCAATAATATGAATTTGTACGATACATTGCCGTAGAAAGTGGCAGCATTGCCATAAGTTCATCCAAATTCAAATACAATATTCTACAATCTTGAAATTCAAGCCTCCTACTCATTTAATTAATTAATTAACTTGGGATATGATTGTACGCCTTAGGAAAATTTAGATTTCCTTTCTAATATATTGCTTTAATTTTTACATATATTTACTAAAAAAAACGTAAAATAATATATATAATTATATTATAAAAATAAATTTATTTTAATATTTCTTAAAATATATATAAATTTTAAAAAATAAGATTAAAAAATATTATCCTATACAAGTTATTTGAAAGATATTTTTTTAATTTTTTAGCTGCATGCATGCATTCTATTCATTATTTCTATTATAATTATTCAGAATTTAAAAAAATAAATAAAATTATAAATTAAATAAAGAAACGAAATAATAAAATTAAAATTTATTTATAATAAATTCTTAAATTTAAAATAAAATATTATATGTAATCTTTAATTTTAATTTTAATAATTAATTAATTAATTAGAATGTGATTTAGTAAGAAACTAATTTTTAAACTTTAATTTCTCAAATTTATATATATTTATACAATACGAATATGCATGATTGTTGACTATCGATAGTGTATAAAAATATAGTAAAAACGTAAGATAACTTTCAAAAGAACAAGACTGTTTTAATACTTTTAAATTATTTTTATTTAAAAAAACAAATTTAAGAATATTTTCGTATACGATTTTCATAGTTTAATCATTGCAATTCTTAGTTGCACCTGAATCACCTTTCTATATTGAGTTTGCGTATTAAGCTAATGCATTTTTATATTTAATTTAAAAATTACATAAATTAAATATTATATAATTTTGGATTTTAAACTCAATATTCAACAAATTAATTTGGGAATGTGGTTATCTCAATATATATATATATATATATATATATAAGGAAGTATATTTTTAATTTTCGTTTCTTAAATTTATATATATTTTCCACATATAAATTATGCGTCAGTGTGAAGATTTATAATAAAACCGCGGTGGCATGAATTTTAAAAGAATAAAATAGTATTTTATATATTTTGAAAAATTACTAAAATTTCAAAAATCTGTCACGCAAACTAAGTTGCATTTTCATGCCAAATATGTTTTTATGATGTTTTAATTTGATTTTTTATGATTATTATATTGTATTTTAATAAACTATGTAGACTTCATATAAATTTTATTGAGCACAAAAAGATATTAATTTAATTTGGTGATTTTAAAAGTGATATGTTAAAGTTAAATAAAAATTAAATTTTAATGTATTAAATTAAAATATAATATTTTTTATGCGTATAATTTAAAAATATTTTTTTCTAATTTTATGATCGATTAAATTAAAAATAATAAAAATTTAAAAATATAAATAAACAGTTATAATTTTTAAATCACACGTGCACGCGCGCGTGTATATATTTTTTATTCTGTCATCTTTTTGTTTCACATATAATATTTTTGATTTAATAAGCACGAGGATTTAAATTCAGCTACATATAACCTTATATACCATGCATAATCGCATTAATCTTGTATTAAAAGTTTTAATTTTGTTATAATAATTAAATGAATATATATTTATAAATAAATTTTAAGAATTAAAGAAAAAATAAGCGGCCCAAACCTTCCAAAGAATTCTTCTGTTAAAAGCGAGAGTACAATGCAAAATGGACGACATGGCAGGCCTCTGGAGATTTAGGCTTTTAAATTTCCAAGCACAACCCATGAAAGTCTTACCAAAGGCTTTAGCCCTACTGGTTTTATATGTATATATATATATATATATAACATGAAGGCAAACAAGAGATGGCTAATTAAATAGAGATTTTTTGGGATTTAAATTAGAGATATCTGTGAAACTAGTAAGTTTGTGTAAGGATAAAATATTTATAAATGTTTAATTATTTTTTGAAAATAATTGTTTATTTTTTATAATTAACACTTTGTTATTTTTTAAATAAGATATATATTTTTTTAGTAGCGTTACACACACAAAATTTGTAAATGATATTTTCCAACAAGAACGCTTAAATTGAAACATGTAGTCTTGAGAAAGTATGTGAGATAATTAAAGAGTTTCTAGAGGAAGAATTGTTTTATTAATTAATGATATAAATTTAATCAAAACCTCACTTTTTTTTTTATAAATAATATATTTTTATTTTAGTTAATATATCTTATATATTTTTTATTATTATATATATATATATATATAATTCAAGTTGAATCTAATAAGATTTAATTAAAAACAAATTTATTAAACCCCTCTTCACTCAGTAAATTAGTCAAATTTTATATATCTAAAATTAAATTATAAATTAAAATTTTGTGAAAGTCAATTCGAAACACGCTTATTATCATCTTTAATATATATTTTTTTAGATACATCCTTAACACAATTGATAAATCATAAAACATGTGCAAAGTTAATATTTGAGAGGTACCAAACGTGTAAAATAGTAAATGAATTATGTAATTTTTTAAATAAAAGATTAGAAAAAACTTGATTTAAAATTTGTTGTTGAATGTGAATGCGAATGCATGAACATTAATTAGGAAATAAAGTGTATGCATTTGGTCATTTTCTTCCTAATTGATGGATCAAATCTCTTCTGTGTCTCTCTCTTTTTTCTACATTTTTCTTTCTCATTTCACATTTTCATAGTCAAGATTCGATCAGATATTACTCTTACAACTGACTCTTCCACCATCTTTTAATTACACGGTGTTTTTTTGAATATACAACCAAAAAACAAAAAATATAAGTATGAATTGGAAAATAAGTCTATACTAATTGTATATGTGGGTACTTAAAATTCTTTTCGTACCCAAATTCAAAAAAAAAAAAAAAAAGAAACAAGATCTGGCAGGTCCAAATTAAAGAAAATAATAAACTCAGAAAGATATTCAGAGTGCAAATTGCATTTTTTTTTTTTTTTTTTTATCTTC